GATTTGTCGCTTCTCTTCCCTGCAAGGAAGATCATCTATTGAACACTATAAAAAGAAAATGATGATAATCCGCATTGGTGAATGTACCACTGATTAAGCCCACTAAAAAATTCTGGATCGCACCCAGTGAGCCTTTAGTCCAGTCACTCTTACACTTTATTTTTCCTTCGGAAACATTTTAGTAAGAAACAGACTTAGAACAGTTCTCCACATTCAATAATCTGTCTACCGAATCGTGTCTTTAGACTTCAACAGTTTTCTGACTCTGAAGAGAAGTCGTCAACGTGAAAAGTAACATAGCAAAGGCAATGATAATACGAGTTGGATTGACTTGTTGAAGGAACTTCTATTGGTCAAAATGTTTTTGTACTTCATCGTATCTTCGGGTGCAATTGAAATGCGAGGGAAATAAATGTCGGAAACAGTCATAAGTAAGGGGACGGTAGTCCGAGCGAACCTGTGCTCCATTGACTCGGTTCGCTGAAGAACACTTCTCTGGCCCACATTCAGTGCCCTTTCAGCCACGTGGCCCCCATTCAACAGTCGAGGAAGGGTGTACTCATAGGGTCTTTACGCACACCTGCAACCAACTCCGGAGTCTCACTCCCACCCTAAGGTTTCACAAGGAAAAAAGCTGTCCTTTGATTCACGTCACCCCTCGTCTCACTGCAGTCGAGTCGCGGCTCATTGACAGACAAGCGTTAGGGCTGCGATAACAGTTGGGGTGACTATTGGGTGATGCTCTCTTTCGGTACCCTTTTTGTTGTGATTGTTTCCGTGACATTAAGTGTCAAGTTTGTAGAGGAAATTGTGACAGCGGTTTATCGAACTCCGAAGCTTATTATGAAAAATTGCAGTTTAATAAATAGGTTTTTAAAATGGTTATAATTTACTTTCACTATGTTCAGGGAATAGAGATAAACTAGCTTGACAATATGAAAATACTATACGAACTGTGAAATTGAAGATATTAGAATATTACGAAATTGTGTAAGTTTAAATGGCAAATTAGTTCAAGTACCAACTAATCTCATGAAACGCTTGACGAAATTCCTCTCCTAAAGTTTGATAAGCACCCTCGCGGCGCGGGAAACCGGCTGAAAGCTCGGCCTCAATTTTTAGACACGCTTTTTCGTACTGTCATTAGCATCGGGCCTACTTCGAATCTACTTTTGGCCCATTACGGGCTTCCCTCTTTCGACTCGCATCGCCACGACCCACTTCGTGTTCTCTTTGGGTCTGCTTTCAACCAACTTGAAGCCTACTTCGATCCTATTTTCAACTTGCTCTCAGCCTGCGTGTTTGCATCGAGCCTAGTTCGATACCTACTTTGGTTCTAGCCCAGTTCCATTCCTATCTCGCCCTCCCTATAGGCACTGTTCTCGGAAACCATTTATTACCATCTAAACCCACTACCAGGTAGTATCAACCCTTTCTAACCGTTTATCATCCTATTTTCCATTCTCTTTGTACTGTTATACAATTTCATCAATTGTCCCCTGCATAAAAGGAATTAAACATTAAAAAATGAATCGCTGATTTATCCATTTTCTTTCTTTAATATTTCACTTCTATTTCTCTTATCAAATGAGAAATCCTACACAACGATACCAAACTACTTGTCAAATTCTCAGTTTCCTATATACATCGCGTTACATTGCGTGAAATCGGTTTTAATTACTCTCAAAAGTGAGTAGAATGAGCGTCTTGGCTCTTAATTAGTAGTTACTCGGTCGCTGCAGTTGTTTAATAGTTATTCAGACCGCATCCTAAAGCGCTCTGGTCGGGCAAAACTTGGATCCCCGCGATGTTGCTTCCGCGATAATTATCGGATTTCCTTAATCGTCTCAACTCAATACAGTGAACAATCTCGTAACAAGATTTTCAGAAAATGAAAATGAAAATAATGAGAGCTATTACCTCAAGCCATTTATCATTGATTAATTATAATTAAAAGGATCTGTGGTGGTTTTCATAAGATACCCCTGTTCAGGTTTATTATTCAACTAATCTGTTCGTCTGTTCTAATAAATTATTTATACTATTGTACATTATTGGATCGGGCGAATACACCACGAAATTAATCACACGCTCACACAGTATAAAACGGTTTTGGATAAAGTTAATCCTGGAGTTCTGCGTGAACTGCATTTAGCAGCAGTTTTTTGTAGTTCCGGGGTAATGTATCCTAGCCGAGGAAAAAGGGAACCACGAAAAACTCGTGGCAGTTGCGCTACTCGCAAGGCCGTGTATTTTTAACTCGAGTACCTTCCGGCAACCCTGGCCGGGATCAATACCACCGGCAACCCCGTCGTCGTGTAGTACTACGGAGCGGCGGAAAGGGTGCAGCGGGGGTTAACCTACATATCCAGTCGCGGCTGGCTCGCAGAAGCTGGCTCGAACGAAAACATTTTCCCTTGCGGGTTTAGCGCACTGCCGGGGCGAGGAGGAGGAGGACGCGGGGTGCGGTACAGCCGCCCGTTCCAGCCTCCGTTTCTTGGCGAGTATCGACGGCTACTCGAGAAACGAGCGTTTCGCAAGTCGTGGCAAACTGGAGTACACGGGATGGGAGCTCGCTCGTCGGCGGGGGTGGTTCTGGTAATTTTGTTGGGCGCTGGCCTGGAAGAGCTTGTTGGCGATGAAAGATGGATCGAGCAGAAATAAAGGGGTTAAGAATTTATACGCGTACCGTCGGATCGCTAGATGAGAAACAAAATTGCATACCGTTAACCTGAATACCTTCGTACATTTCTTTATACCTCGTGCAATTGAACTATTTAATGAAATGGCTGAATTACTTATTTATAAGTCTCGTACAAACGAAATGGTCGTAACTCGTAGTAAAAGAAAATGCATAATTTATTGAAACAGTATGAGGGGAAGGTTGCCGACGCAAATGAAGGAGCTCGTCTTCCCTATGGGACATTTTCATTTCATTCTCCGCAAAATTGTCCACGATTCCCCGTAGAAAATTCAAACATCACCGGCTATTTATTCACCAATAAAGCGACCGCGGTGGCGACATATTTTTTCGCGTTCAGACCGCGGCGCGAGAAGGGTGCGAGTAACCGCGAAAGGCGGCCTGTACTCGCGTAATTGAAAAATATCTGCCGCTATGTTTCGCTGGGGAGAAACGAGACTGGCCCGCTACACAGTGGGAATAAAACACCGTGTATTTTTTGTGCAAAATTTATCTATTCATTCACCTTAATCGGAATGAAAGTGTCCACAAATTGGTTAGTACAAGAGTGAGCGAGAAAATTTAAACAAAGATCGGCTCTGTATGGCGCAGACTTGCTTTCGATTCTCTCTGTACCGCGGCCCGTTATCACAAGCTGGAAGGAACAGAAAGATTGAGAATCCACTAACGTTCCCACGTACAACTTTACACAAAATGGCTCCTGATGTTAGGGACGCGTTCCTTTCCTTTGGAGATCGCGCGAACGAAGGAAAGGTCGCGTCGGAATTGAGTTCCGTGAGACACGGACTCCGAGGACATAGCCGTGAACCTCGATGGCCGTCCAACGATCCTGAAGGGAGAACTGAAGCGTCTGCAGACGATGTTCGGGACACAGACAGGAAAAGAGAAAATAAGGAAAGCGCGTAAAGTTAGAGAGCAAGGGACAATGCAAGGAACAAAGAGTATGGAATGGATATAAAAGAGAAAAAAAGAAGTAGAGGACATAAAGGGTGGAACGCACAGGGAAGGGAGAAGGATAGATGGAGCGGGTGAACCAGCAAAAGACTTTCGCTCTCGACGTCATTCGGGTTGCGAGAGCGAGCTCCCCGATTGTGACGAGGATGCCTTGACCGAGGAAGATAGCCACGGCGTGGCAGTAAGGGCAATTCCTTTTATTGGCGATTTCGTTTCATGGTAATCGCGTGACCAACTGAATATTCGCTATTCTCGATACGCGCTTGAGCGGATTTGGAAGTGGACGTGTTTCAGAAATCCGTCGACCGGGAGACACGGGATTCGTGTTTTGGCGAGAGCCACTCGAAAGACTTTTAGCCGGGAATTCGTGCGGAAGTGGAAGTCTTAAGGAAGTTACCGAGTCTGAGTGCCTCTGTTTCCTTTAAGCATTTTTGTTACGGTTTAAGGAAGATATGTGTACCGGGCAGAAGAAGCTCCAGTAGGTTTGCTGGACGCTTGAGATAAATCGTTGCCGGAAAAAGACGTTTCTTATATCTAAGAAAATTATTGCAAAATGATTCCAGGATTGCAATCATCTTATTGCTACGCAAGGAATAAAATTTATTTCAACGTGCATTAAACATTTATCTATCTCAGCAATCACCCATAAAATACTTTGCGACCGCAGAACAAGAAGTTCCTAAGCTCTGGAGACGATCGATCGTTAAAATTCACGCGGCACGTAATTGAGTTCCAAATTACAGGGTAGATAAAGAAAGGAGGAACGGGGCGTAGGTCGGGACGCGAGAGGGGAGGGCAAGGATTCCGATAAGAGGGGCTTTGTCGAGGAGCGCAGGAAGCCCGGGAGGGCATTATGCGAATACGTCGGGAACGATTGGCTCTCGTTCGAACTCTGTTGAAGTGGGGTTGCGCGGGTTGAGAAACCGGAAGCGGCGTTCCGTTTCAATGCGCGATCGTGAAAAGGAGCCGATAACACGGTCACCTCCCCCCGGGCGGGGTAAAAGCATTTCGAAGATACTCGCCCCGACACTCTTTTAATGTGATTTCGCACCCCCGCTGAAAACCACTCGAACAGCCAATAGAGAGACCGAGAGCCAGGCGGATCTTCCTTTGTGCGTGACTCGCGAATTTTTATACAAGCCTCTCTTCCCGCTCGTTATAGGCTACTTCTTTGTTAAATTTTCTCAAATAGAAACGAAAATAACCATTTGTTATATAACGCGCGAATACAGATCTGTTTATCGATAAAGAAATATCCCTCTGGTCAATTCCTCACAAACAAATTTTTACTGCAAAAATAGAGTGGGATCAATATAACGTTAGATGTCCGTTTCTCATGTTACAGTGTGATCAACGCGAGGCAACAGTGAAACATCCATCGAATCCGGAAGCCGCACGCCACAGTCGACTCTCGTGTCGTCTAGTGGCGCATTCGACGAGCTAGCCGCCTGAAGGCGTTGGCGGCAAGACGGCCGATCGTGCGAACGTGCTGAGTACTATTCCGCTGCTGCGAGGATCAGCAACAGCCCGAAAATTCATCCAGCGAAGGCCAAGATGCACATCGAGGTGCAGGTGGCGCTTAACTTCGTGATATCGTATCTGTACAACAAGCTGCCGCGTAGGCGGGTGAATATCTTCGGCGAGGAGCTCGAGAAAGCGCTCAAAGACAAGTTCAAGGGTCACTGGTACCCGGAGAAACCGTTCAAGGGATCTGGGTTCAGATGCCTGAAGACCGGCGATCCCGTGGATCCGGTGTTGGAGCGGGCCGCAAAGGAGAGCGGCGTGCCCATTCAGGACATCCTCGAGAATCTACCAGCGGAATTGGCCGTCTGGGTCGATCCAGGTGAGGTGAGCTACCGCATCGGCGAGGTGAACGCGGTGAAGATCCTCTACTCCGAGAAAGGAGATCCCCACGACGAGAGCTCGGCCGATCGCGAGGTGACCAAGACCTTCAATCCGGAAGCTCAATGCTTCAGGCCCATCGAGGCCGTGGGTACGTCTCTGGGCGGATTGAGTCTCAGCCCTAAGTCCACGTCGCCGTTCTCGAGCTCGTTGGGGAGCAACGCTAGCAACGGGTCGTCGAACAACCAGCAGAACGGCCACGGTTCCGGTTCGCCCTCAGCTCCGTCGCCGACACCTATCGCTAGCTCGTTCAAAGGTTCGCCCACCCCTGTACCGGCTTTCATCCCTCGAACAACGGCACCGCTCACGTTCACCACCGCCACCTTCGCCCAGACGAAGTTTGGTAGCACCAAACTGAAGACCAGCAGCAAACGAGCGAACAGGTTGGTAGATCATTCTCATGTTTCTTTATACACAATTACATTTGAGAAGCCGGAATACGAAATTTTTTAAGTAGATGTTGGTGTCTCGATCATAATTGTACTCGAACTATAATAGAATGAATTGCTTGAACCGGTAAGTGACTTCTATGAACGTGATAAATGATCTTAAGAGCGTACAGTTATCTGTAATTGCCGTAACCCGTGAGGCACCCACATCTGCAATAATTGTCACCCGATAAACTTCGCGACAAGTGTTACACTGACTACACCGTTACAATTGTCAGCCACCCGCATACCGACTGTAAACTTTACACCGAAAGGGTGAAAGCACAAAGCGCGATCTGCGTAATCCCCCATAGTTTCGATTCTCCCACATTCACCAATTAAATCTTAGACCAGCATCTCGACAGTAACCCAACCGCAAATACCGAAACCAAGATATCGAACTCTGACCTGTAGCACAGCAGCGTGCTGGCGATATTTCTGAAATTAAAAGAAACGATGATATTTCAAAAGTACATGAGTTCTTCAAATGTCCCTCGATTAAAAGTCAATACGAAAAGAATATTAAATAGCTTTGAAGAGATATTACCAAAACGCTTCTGTAAACGATAGAACGTATAAATACAACACTGCGAAACGCACGTAATCGTGTTGCTTTCAGAATGTCCCCCACCGAGTTCTCGAACTACATCAAGCAGCGCGCGATGCAGCAACAGATCCATCATCACCACCACCACCAGCAGCACCAACAGCAGCAGCAACAGCAGCAGCAACAGCAACAACAGCAGCAGCAGCAACAACAAGCAGCAGCAGGTGGTTTGCCCGTGTCGCAGAGTTCACCTCGCAGTCGTAGCCTCTCACCCGGGAGCATAGTAGCCGGACAGCAGCACACGGATCCCTCGGCTTACTTCTTCCAGCACGGACCGGCCGCGTATCATCCTCAGTTCCCTCACCGCAACATCTTCGATTCGTCCAGTCACGGCGGTTACCTGTCCGCCGATCTTTACACAGGCGCGAACTTCCCGTCGTCCTACCTCGATCCGACGACGATCGCCGGACATCAGTTCTACGGTAGTAGCGTTAGCGGAACTGGTAACGCGGCGGGCAGCACCGCAGGAAACTCGCAAACCGCTGGAATCCTCCGCCCCGTCGGAACTGCGGCGACGAACAGCAACGTGAACGGCACCGGTCAGCAGCAAGATAAGACCGCGCTCGTCGAAGGTCTGAACAACTTCGGCCTCGGCTCGGTAGCGCCATATCCAGCCAGCCAATACCAGCACCTCCTCGTGGCTAACTAATACCCCGCGCGAGCTGAGACCGAGCGATTGGCGCGGCTCGAGTCGCGCCTGATCCTCTGCTGCTTCGCCGGAAACGACAGGGCAGGACGCGAGGATCCGCTTAGAGAAGACCGGGTCGTTTCATCATGACGACGTTCCAAATCTCTACGGCGTGTAAAACGAGACCAGAGTCGTCCAGATCGTTTTAAGTTCCGTCGCCCCCATCGACGTGTTTTACATCCGGATTCCGCTTGCACCGTCATCCCCGATTCGGCACGGGGGTTCCCGCTCACCCAAATAGTTCCCACTCTGTCTCTCTCCGGCAAAACCATGCTACTGAGCAGAAGTCGTTACGACAGCTACATAATCAACCTCCTGGTTCGGTTATACAGTCCTTACAGCCGACGGGGAGCGATCAACACTCATCGAATCCTGTTTTCTCGTTCGATCAGATCGCGGAGGCAAGGTTTTCGCGCGATACCTTCTTGAACGATGACACAATTCGTCCATCGACACATGGTCTTCGTGTATACCACACAGAGAACAGGGAGAGGGAATGAGAATGGAGACGCCTTCGGCAGGAAGGATCTAATCAGCACCGAGAGGAACAGACATCAGGTCGACGCACGCTGGCTCAACAGGAGGAACAGTGCGAGGAGATGGAAATGAGAGAGCGAGATTGTATAGAATGGAGCATATGTACGGGAATAGACGGATTTCGGTGCGGATGTGTGCTAAAGCGTGCGTGCAAGACGTTCGGAGAAGAAGAGAAGAGGACTCGACGCGAACTCTGCGTTCTATCGACGCGACGTAACGTACATAGAGTCGCGTGTACCTAACGTTTTATCATCGGAAACCAACACGGACAACCGATCGCGATGGCGTACGTTCGACGAAAATGCTGTTCTCTCATGTTTCACCCGTCGGATCAGATATATCGATAGAGAGAACGTTGCGTTCTTTGTATGTACAGAGAGACCAAATCGCGGATTCGGTTCGAATTCGGTTCGGGGTATGAAAGAGATAAATAGAAGAACGTCGAACGGTGCGCCGTGCGTTCGCATCTGGGACAGAGAACGAGCCAAGAGACATACACAGATACACGTGTACAATACGTATATAATGTACGTAATATAAAATTCCACACAGGTCGGATTCAACCGGACACACTCACTCCCATCAGTTTTACCTGGCAACACCACGTACACACACGTTAAGCGCATATACATTTGTCACTCTTCAGCGGGTGGGTATATACACACACGTGCATACATCCAGACACACGAACACACGCGCATAAAAAGAGACATTGACACACGCGTCCAAGGGAAGAGGGAAGGAGGGTATGACACACACAGGAGGGCGGAGTGTGCGGACACTTAAATATCGCGCACGACTTCACCAACACGTACACAACAGATATTACCAATGCGTAATACATAATTTATTTTTTCACTGGTATAGTCGGAGAATTGATAATGAATATATCTGTAGAGCCTATGTATTATATTCAAGATATGCACTCACTTCGCGAGTTGTCGCGCGACGGTGTGAGGCACCGACCTGCTACCGATCTGTCGGACCGTCGCCGAACGAACACCTGGGGTTTACAGGTGGAATCGCTGTAGCGTCGCTAATATTTGAATCATGCGTGTTCTGAAAAACATTTGGACGCACGGGTATTATGTGTTCTGGGATCATCTTATATATCATGATTGTCGTGAGAATTAAAAATTAACGATTGTTAATAACTTCTTATGACAATCGGTGTATATATCAATCTGTGTATCTTTGTTGATGCGCTGAAGCGACTCCATCTATACTTTTTTTCCCGGTTCTTGTAACGAAACTAAAGAACAGAGAGAAGACACTGGAGGAGATGTGGAAAAATCCTGACAGAGGAAACATCTATCAGTGGAAACCAGAGATTCCTTCTCGCACGAGTCACAGACGGTGGTACACGGTTCCGCACGCCGTTCGGAGAACTCGTCCTCGGTACGATTTTACATTTTATTTTTATAATAAATGCAGTAGAACGTAGAAGAGAAAAAAATAAACCGTGAAAAAAACGCGAAGCAAAAGGAGAGGAGAAGGGAGTATACAGATGAGGGAAGAAGACGATTCGGGGAATGGCGTGTTCGCATCGAGCGTACGGTGACGCGGCCGCATTGCCAAAACCACGCGTTTCCAGCTTCGCGCGTTAATATCTTCGGACGTTTCCTTTCGACGCGATACCTACCCTCGGCACGTGACGTCCACTGGACGTCGCCGGATTCGCAGTGAGACATTCTCCTGGAGTCCAAGTTCACGGCTCATCCGGCGACAGTTAGCGAAAGTTTTCTAATTCCGCGTTATCGAGCTACAAGCTCATCGTAACGCGGTGCTAACTATTATTCGAAACTTGAACTTTCTACAAAATCAATATAGACACAAGAATTCAATTTTCTAATGTCAGTACGAATGTTTGTTAAACTCATTTCGGGTGACATCGTGTATTCGTCAGTTTCTCACACATTTCCAAATGAACTTCAATTGCATTTTGGAGCGATTTTATATTATTATTAATTATAATTATCGATTCGCGGAGCCACGATGTCTGGGCAACGTTTCGAGGATGAAGGGTGCGTCGGAACGGAAACAAGGTCGTGTTGGAAGGGATCGTGGGGCAGGTAGGCTGGCCGATTCGCGTTCGCGAGATTAATTAGGTGATCACGTTATTAAAGGCCACTGTTACTGTCCTCGACAGCCGCGCTGCGAACCGTGATGCTCGACCCTCGTACACGCTCCCGAGCACTGATCCGCTTACGAAGCTCTTTGCCACGAGCGATGAAGGTAGGATTCAATTTCGTGAGAAACTTGCTCTTTTCTATGTCACAGTTAAATTGTGATTTTTAACTTGATGCGAATCGTGATTTTTAATTTTATACAGTATGATGAAACAGATGATGATCATTGATTGATGGCGAACGTTTAGTTAGATTTTTAATAAATGACGATCAATGATGTATAGAAATTGATAAGCAGGCAAAAGTTCTGAACTACGTCGTTCGGGCAAAGGCTTTAAAAGGTCGTACTTTCGGTTGAGCATGGTGAATCAGAATTCCTTGATGTTTGACCACCACGACGTTCGAGTCACGGTCGGCTTCGTCCGTCGAGAAACGTGAATAAGAAAGGACAAACGTAACGGGACAGTAACGGTGGCGTAGGTGCCGCGAGCTGCGGGCCGGGCACTAGGTGCTAAAAGTATTAAAACAAAGTGTTTAATCTTGTCATCGTGGGACAAACGTACGGTGTACGCGCGGTCAGGGAGTGTCGACGAGCTCGCTAGCTAGCCGTCACTTTAGCTAGCAACGAGTGACCGAGAGGAAAGGGATCGTGTGTTTTTGATCGGTTGATCCGGCCGCGTTCAGCCGCGTCTACTTTCTCAACTAGTTTCGAAACGTTAGCGTGACTTTGATATCATGTAAGTAAGTGTATAAGTAGCATAATTTTTAGGCGTGACTTTTTCGTCGTTCTTTCGTACGGATTTTTATATAGCCAATTTTGTATAACGATCGACGCCGAGCGAGCGGGCTCTCAGGCTCTGCGCTGCGGGAAGCGTTTCAGGCTGGAACGCTAGCTCGTTGATCGACCAGCTTCACCGAATCTTACATAACGATTCGTTCTTCGTCTCGCAAAGTATCGCGAAATTTCAACGGGACTTACTTTACGAAGAGGACAAAATTCGTTGAAAACAGTTGTCTAGATGACACGGATGCTTAGATGAATAAAAATTTCTTTCGCGAAGAAGACGAAGTTAACTCTTCGGGATTAGTTAATTCTATTTAAAACATTGTAGGACTTGATAGTACGTATTGTACTTTGTTTAGAAAATTGATGGTGTGATCGATTGTGATGAAGTTAGTTTGAATTACGATAAAGGAAAAACTTGATCGATCGAGCACATGGCGAGCGAGTCGGCAGATTTCCGGCCACGCGGGGGGGTGCTAAAACAAGTGTTTAACTGCGGAACTAAATAAGGGTAGAAGCGCAGAGAGAGAAGGGGTGAAGAAAGCGCAGGGGGTCGCAGTGAGAGGCGAGAGGGGACAAGGCGGGAGAGAACAGAACCCTTTTAGTAATATCTAAACTTAATTGTAACTATTAACGATACGTACGACTGTGGTAGCTATGCTAGTACCTGCTATTGTTAAAGTGAGAAAGAGGGAGAGAGAGAGAGAGAGAGCGAGAGGAAGAGCGAGAGGTGTTTGAGAGAAAGAGAGAGTGAGTCGATGGAGAGGGATGAATCGCGACTTTTGAGGTTTGATTCGCGGCGGAAGACCTGGAAATTATCATCTTCCTGGATGACAGAGGGACCTAGGGAACCTGTGGTCGTCGGTTTTCCGTAGGAATGAACAAGTTTCGGAGCATGATCGATGGATCGCGTCGGGACACGGAGGATCGGCGTTTGTCGCGCCGATTATTTTTCTAATCTTTGTAATCGAACGAAACGGCGATGAAATTTAACGAGGAATTCTTGATGCGACCAGACGGAAATCACAGGGACAAGTTTTGTCGCGCTTTGATTATTTAATCCTCCGGCGTCTCGACGCATTGCGATCGCGAGAAAAAGAGAGAATCGTGGAATGGATAATGGATCAGGGGAAGGACGAGAGACAAATGGAGCAAACGTTGCAATAAGTTGCGAATCAAATGCGGATCTCGGTTCGAGACGAGAGGCTCAGCTCAGCGAAGAATCAAACACACAAACACGATGTATACTCTTGAAGTGAAACCAAAAACGAAATGAAAGAGGATGGAAGGGAGAGGGATTCTGAATAGAGCTAAAACGGCGGTAGGAGCGCGAGATGGCGAGAGGAAGACAAGGACGCAGAGGGAGGAGGAGGGCCAGTGGAAAAAAATGAGTGGAATCTAGAGCATACATTGAGATACACAAAAGATAAACATATAGTATTATACGATTAAAATACGATTGTAATGAAACACTTTGTAAGCAAGGAAACAAACAAAAAAAATTACGCATAGTTTTCCATAATCTGTAATGGATGTATTCGTTAACAAAAAAAAAAAAAAAAAATAATAAGATGACGAAAGGTTAAGATTAATACACACGTACATAGGGACACTTGTACACGTACATACACGAAGACACACACTGCTAACCGTTCGAAGTTAACTCGGGTACACGACACACAAGAACTAAATAGGGGGAAAAAAAGAACAAAAAAAGTAATCTAATAAATAATAACACACGAAGTAACATGACGACATAACAAACGGTAAATCTGTCTCTTTAAAGTATCATGTGTCTATAAACTATAGTGATCGATATTGTCTTTTTAACCGTAAATGGAGAAACAAGTAATTGTGGTAACGTAACTAATGTCATAGCGATAACCGAACACTGCAATATTAGATATAATATATATTCATACATTTATAGAAAGGGGAGAAGTGACTGGAATTCAATGGGCGACGGTAGCGAAAATTCGTGCGTGGCTCTGACACGCACTCGATTAAAAGGGGAAGAAGAGAGGAAAAAAAAAGATAGAAAAATATAACAGAGAAAAACCATTCGATGTAACTGGAAACGTTGTGTTATCGGTTCGTTCTCACTTTTCCTCTTTGTCCAAAGCTGAGCGAACCAAAAACAACAAAAAAAAAAAGAAAGAAAGCGAAATACACACGGGGAGTACGATCTGAACAGTCAGTGGCGTGTGTCAGGGCGGAAGTGGACAAAAGTGGTACGATCTCCAGGCACAGTTGAAAAGAGAAAGCCGTTTCATGCTAAAACAGCGAGAGAGAAAAGCAAAACGAAGCTGAATGGGAAGAGAACAATATTAATATGCGTTTTGTGTATCGGACACACTCGAAGTAATACAGACACACATACATACAGGCACACGACACACACGTACACACAAGGAGAAACACAAAGAAAGATCCAAAAAAAAACCTATCGATTATTCTACCAAATAATGAATTAACAAGAGGATGATCATTAGATTTGTAATTAATTACATATATATTTTTCAATACTTTAACTACTTGCTGAATGTAAACTATATACATATAATTATATATTATATATATTATATATACACATCGTACCGCGTAGGGCTGTATCTCGTTTACAGCGTGGACGATACGGGGGCCGGCCTCTCGACTTCCGGTTCACGACGGGGCGAAAACGACAAGGGACCGCGCGAAGGTCGATAATCCGTCGGCGAACGAGAGGTGTGTAAACCGAAGCGAGAAAATGGCGTTTCAACGTCGTCGGGCGACCGGAAATGGACGGGATCGGCCCTCGACACTTGCGGGACCGGAGGCGACGTCCTCCGGGATAGGACGAAGACAAGAGCGAGAGGGAAGAGAAAGAACCTTTTTTGTACCCCACCCAAGTCACACTCTCGGTGTCGAAACGGTAAAGAAAAACCAAAAAAACAAGCAACTATGTTACTCGTGTAAGTGCATCCTAAATGTATAAACAGTTACGAAAAAAATACCCCTTCTCCGAAGCTCCACCCCAGGCCCCAGTTTTCATCGTTTCGTACGTAGTAGAATTAAGGAAGAAGAGAACAGATGGATGTGAAACGTGAGTTAGATGGAGAGAAAGTAATTAGGAAGATGCGTTTTCGCGAACGAATAGAAAACACGTGTGTGTGTGTGCGATAGGGAAAACTCGCGTGATTCGTAAAATCACGATCGTGGAGAAACGAAATTTCCGGAGGCTGAGACCGCGCATAAGCTTTCGATTCCTGTTTTAGATGTGAACCGTACGAGGTTGAACGTTTTTACCCTCACATCCCCCCCTTCCCTTGTCGCGCAACGCGTTCTACTTCGTTCCCTTCTGTTCGCTGATCGCTGATGATATGTATTCGCGGTACGCGTGCCTGTGTCGCGTATCACATTTTACCATTTATGTATACACACTTGTTAACTCGGATCGAATGGGAAAATCGAGCGAACGAGGGAGACAGTCTTGCGGATGTTCTGCGTGTGTATGCACTGCGAGTCTGGTAACGTGAGACTGCGTGCGTGAGAAAAATTTGGGGGTGAGCATGATAAAAAATTATGCGTGCGAGCGAGACAAAGCAAGCGAGACACTGTGCGCCTATATATGTATATCTGTATATACACAACTATCTTTTTTCACCCGCTACTTAGATAATTTTTTCCTTTACGTACTTCTTTATCTCCTCCTTTTTTTTTTATTACACATTATTATATATTAATATTGATTATATATTATTACCGTAATCGAAGATGTATTTTCTGTTGGCTTTAGATTTTGTTCCTTTATTTTTGTACGAGAACCGTTTTACCTTTAATATGTGTGCTTTATTTGTAAACTATGTGAGAACACTTTTTCTTACCGTCGATCCGCCGTCGTACGCACGGCGGATTCGTAGATCGCGCGGACGTCGCCGATCGCCGATTGACAGATTGATCGATTTAACGATGATGGAATCGCTGGAAACGCATCGGCGACGTCCGTGGCTCGTTTTGATGTTAAGCTGATCCCGTTTCAGAAAATCAATATATTTTTCTCCTTATCTTTTTGTCCTTTTACCTTTTATTTTCACTTTTTTGATAGTTTGTTATTGTTGTTTTTGTCTTTTTTTTGTATGATATATATATATATTTGATTATACCAGCGTGCATCGCTCCTCCAAATAATATAATATATACTGCTATATTATATATACAATATACATATACATATATATATATATTTGATTATACCAGCGTGCATCGCTCCTCCAAATAATATAATATATACTGCTATATTATATATACAATATACATATACATATATATATATATTTGATTATACCAGCGTGCATCGCTCCTCCAAATAATATAATATATACTGCTATATTATATATACAATATACATATACATATATATATATATTTGATTATACCAGCGTGCATCGCTCCTCCAAATAATATAATATATACTGCTATATTATATATACAATATACATATACATATATATATATATTTGATTATACCAGCGTGCATCGCTCCTCCAAATAATATAATATATACTGCTATATTATATATACAATATACATATACATATATATATATATTTGATTATACCAGCGTGCATCGCTCCTCCAAATAATATAATATATACTGCTATATTATATATACAATATACATATACATATATATATATATTTGATTATACCAGCGTGCATCGCTCCTCCAAATAATATAATATATACTGCTATATTATATATACAATATACATATACATATATATATATATTTGATTATACCAGCGTGCATCGCTCCTCCAAATAATATAATATATACTGCTATATTATATATACAATATACATATACATATATATATATATTTGATTATACCAGCGTGCATCGCTCCTCCAAATAATATAATATATACTGCTATATTATATATACAATATACATATACATATATATATATATTTGATTATACCAGCGTGCATCGCTCCTCCAAATAATATAATATATACTGCTATATTATATATACAATATACATATACATACACTGCTACATTATATTTTGTTTAACGAGGAGACAAACCAAAAGATCAACAAAAAAAAAAGCGAAAAAATCTAACAAAAAGTAATAATACGAATGAAACTACGAGGTGGAGAGTATGGACGGAACGATGTCGTGTTTCCAGCGTGTCGATGTGTTTAAAGTTAATCCTTTGCGCTCATTTCACATTTCTCCTAATGATGATAATAACTATGTGATGAATCTTTTGTAAAATAAAACTGATTAAGAAATTTAAGCTGAAGTCTCAAATTCATTTTTGGTAACTCTCGCGAACGTTAGGAGTGGTGCACTTGGAATTTCGCGACTTTGTTGTTTTATTAGACACGCTTCGAGTTGCTCGGGAAAACTTGGAAGTTGACTTGTGAGCGCAAAGGGTTGAACCGTGGAGGTACGGCGGGCGAGTGAAAGAGAGGTTCAGGAGAACATTTTTCTTGAAATGTCTCATATGCACGGGCCGTCCCCTCGACCCGATAGAAAGGGAATTAGGCAAATTATCAAACTGAATGTAGGGCGAGAGTAAAAACACGCATAGACACACGAACGATCGATAAATAAATTATAACGTCCGGTTTGTAAGATGAAAACCGGAGACGAGAGCGAAGGGATAAAGAGAAAACAAAAAAATACACAGATACGTCTGAGACAAAAATGAAACTCGCGTGTAATATACTTATAATATAATATCGAAGCATATACGAGACAAAAAGCGGAACAGTGTTTGTGCGTACGAACAGGAAGAGAGAACCAAAGAAAGAAAGGAAGGACGAATGAGAGTGAGAACGATGAGAGTAGCAGTGAGAGAAAAAGAAGTACCCCAGTGTGACTGTGAGGAGAATTTGACACACGGAACGAAAGAACAGGTGTGGAAGAGAATGTGAGGACACGAATGAAAGAGTTCAGTGTGAAAGGGTTGATGAAAGAGAAAGAAGAAAAATCTCGTGACGCGTTGATAATACTGATGATACTTAAAATCGATCATTAAAAAAAATCGTCCTTTCGTTGATCGAGAGCGGCGCCAGAAAAGATGCTCTTCGTTTACGAATTAACGAAAAGTGAGAAACTAATAAAGTAAAAGAAAAAAGAAAGCGTAAAAGACGCGTGCGTAAAAGTAAATGCGCCTGCATAAATTTTCGCGAAGAAACGAACGTGTACACATACGTAGAGACACACATACAGACGTACAGTTATAAATTATGTATGCATGTTCAATTCGCGACACGAGTCCCGAAGACGAGTATGGATTTTTCGTTCCCTATTATTTATACCTTTGTATTGTATTTTGCAGCTTGTCAGTGCTTTGTTTATTACTACTGCTACTACTACTACTACTATTACTACTACTATTATCGTTAGTCTTATTACTCTTATAATGATTATTAATACTATTGCTACTATTGCTATGAATTTTAGATCGTTTTATTGTATCATCGATAACCTTATTTTTGTACCACTCTACTTTCGTCGACGCGTCCATAATGGAGACGCGCGTGCGGCCACGTGTTCTTTCTTATTTCTCCTTTTTGTTCACTTCATTTTTTTAGTAATTTAATAAGAATAAAAGACGTAGCGTGATCGCCTCCAAAGAGAATGACTGTGCATAAAACAGTGGAAACCTCGCAACAACCAGTTTAGTCGTATATTTAGTAGAGCTCCCCGATAAAGCGGCCGCTTGTTGTGTTAGGTTTATCAATTAAGAAGCACCGTGCGCCACGAAAAATAAATTAGGAGATCATCGCGAGGCGGTGAACGCTCCGAGAATCGAGGAGGAGGAGGAGAAACGGTGGATGTCTCCAGATCTTTTATAATTTTATAGTAAAAAAAATATATATGAACATGCACCGCCGATTCCGAATTAATTGCGGAATCCTAAAAAAAAAAATGCGGCCACGTGTTCTTTCTTATTTCTCCTTTTTGTTCACTTCATTTTTTTAGTAATTTAATAAGAATAAAAGACGTAGCGTGATCGCCTCCAAAGAGAATGACTGTGCATAAAACAGTGGAAACCTCGCAACAACCAGTTTAGTCGTATATTTAGTAGAGCTCCCCGATAAAGCGGCCGCTTGTTGTGTTAGGTTTATCAATTAAGAAGCACCGTGCGCCACGAAAAATAAATTAGGAG